ATATAGCTTTCCTCAAATGATTTCAGCAAAAAGTAAGACAATAGATAATTTAAAAAATGAATTTGATAGTAAATAAACAAATTTAACATATACAATCTGCATTCCATTTCTAATTAGAGGTTGACATCTGCTACGTCAGCTGATTACCATTTACTCATTTCAGTGCCCAAAGCTCTAGCCTGCAGATGATTGCGCTGAATAACATAATGGCGATAAGTATATCTTTTCATCCTCAATTAGAATAATTGTGTGGCAGATAGAACTAAAGATGGTTATTACAATGAATATTGGATAAAAAGCCTCAGCTTGCCTTCAATAACAGCTTAATAGAATTAGCTAGCTTATTTTAACCTTATGCCTTAGTTGTTGGATTATATTTTACGTAAACTTCATTCCACTTTTCAAAATCATTGCTTCTACCACTCTGCTTTCACTTTTCAGTAACTCGGCTGCAGTATTGATATCTTTAAGCACGTTTTTATCCTCATTATAAACCATCTTCTAAACGAGGTCTTCAAATCTTACACCTACATCCATTGTGCGACTCCAATATTGAGGCAATATGGTACATAGCGACCCTTCAGTGTCCTTTCACTTAGATCTGTATGTAGTATATTTGAGACCTAAATGTAAATCGGCATCCGATTAGCATGTTTATGGCATCACTGACGGGAATAACAACTTTCGATTGTTTTCAAGATTTACTGTTTACTCTTCTAGCATATTGTATGTCACCCTTCAATTTACAGATTATTAGAGCATCTCCTTGGTCATCCGTACGTATTTGACTCCTACTTTTAGAGATTAATTTGTCTGAATCCGCAGTATTATTATTGCTATAGTGGTCAGAAAAGCGCAGAGATGACAACACAATTGAACGTCTCCGCTTTATTGTGAACAAATTTTTCCTAAATTGAATGAGTATTCTTTTAAGTTGAGCTCACATTAAAAGGCTCTCCAATTGAAACACACTTCTCGTGTTTTCGTCATCGTTCATTCTTAAACTTCGGTAGTTTCGGGATGGGTAGACGCTAATTAGGAATATGTTCTCTAGTTTAATCCTGTCATGCTTTCAGGACAAATAAACGACAATGTCGTATTTCTGCAGAAACCAACCTTTCAAATGAAGTGTCGCACTTACTCTGGTATTGCGGAAGTTTACGCGCCATGAAATTTGGTCGTCATAAGCGTTCAACCCTAAATTGATACATGATCCGTGCTGTGTCCAACTTTAATGCGACCTTAGCACAGATTAGAAGCAGCCTCAAGCTCGGCTTGCCTTGTCCGTTTGGAAGAACTCGAAACACTGTCGTACAAAGATGAGTTTGCGTCAGATGTTCACAAGGCTTGACAGCTAATTTTGCAGGGAAGTTGTAAATTCATCCGGCTATATATCTCTCCGCTTTTATTGGCGCATGGTGAGGTCACTGCAAACTCATCGTTCCAATATTTATAACGCTGCCTTTAGTGTTTTCTCTTGAAAATCGAAATCTGCCGCATTGCATTGCTTATTGTAATATAACTAACCACATAATTACTTTACCGCACATTGACAATGACCTGGATTCAAAGTGAAAAACGAAGAAAAAACCATTATTTCACTCTGTATGTTCTCAAACCATCGAACAAGCTTAGGAAAGCAAATTTAAAATCTTTTGTTAACACAATGTTATCGCGCATGATTGTTTTAATCGGTTTCCAAAAAGAAAGAAAGTTCGTTGTTACTTTGCCTGAAAGGGACTTAAAGAACGTCTTGAATCTTAGAAATATGAATGGGTCTGAAAGAGAGAAGCGATGTGATTTTGTCCACTGGTGCCATCAGCGCTGTACTATATAAACTCAATTATCTTTAAGATAATATAGGGGTTTTGGTTTCATCTATCCCTCTTTCTCGCTACTTTATGGTTATGATTGTCATACACTGTTTTTTTAGGTCAGAATGAACAACCTAGCAAAATTCCTCCACCATTAATTCTCTAAAGTTTTGAAATTGGTCGAAAACTAGCTAAACATAAACATTATTAATCACATAAATCTTGGTGGCCATTCTTTTTCATATATGTGCCTAAAGAAGTAGAGCTCCCACTTGACTATGTACATCAAATGCCTACCAGCTACTTTGTTTTGTCTCATACTCCTTCAGTCTCTCTGAACAATAGTAATACATTGTATGAGCTTATAATTTTGGAAAAGCTTTTCGCGTTTCTTTCTTCCTAATACGCAATTCATATTTAAACAAAAGAACTGCTCTGATTTCCGAGATTATTTGTGCCTTTTGCGTATCTGCTGACTATATTAATTGCTGTTTCGACTTATCAATACATTCAACATAGCATACGGCAGATCACAACTCAACAAAATTTTGCTTTCCAAATTCTTGATTGAGCCAGATAACACATAATCCACTTTTGTGACATGTTAATTATGGAAAAGTTATTTTTACAGAGATTCTAATAAAGAAGCGCATTGGAAAGTCATTCACCTTTAAGCATGAAATAAATTCACATCTGTTAGGTCATTAGAGATCAGATGGATTTTCCCTATCGTCTACAAACACCAAAAACCTCGCTTGCGCTCTGTTCTTTTTCCCTCCTTCAGTTTATTGCTAGACTTTATCTGTCAACTACTTCAAAAATGAAAGAAAAAATTTATTGCTCGTCTTCTTTCAGATGCCACTAACAAAAGAGTGCAACAACGAGCCAGGGCCAGCAAAAAACAATCTTAATATTACACCATACGAAATTCGTTATCTGAAATACTCATGGGAAAAGTATGTTTTCTGATGCAAAAATTAGGAAAGTGGTTTTTATTATTATTTTAGAGCGAGTTCAGCGGCGGATATTGGCTGCGAGCTAGTGGCAAGGTTGCTTAACGACAACCGTACCAGATTCCGTGCCTTGATTGAGAGTCATTCCGGGGACGTTCTTGGCTCAGCTAACCTTGCGGCCGATGATGTGAAGAAGTTCCGACGAGCGCGATCAGTGGCTCATGGAGTAGTGATGTTTTTCAACCAGGTATATGATAATTACTTGAACTCAAATGACTAAAATAACCATGGTATTCTAAGCTGACAGTGCGCACCAACGAACTCTTTTTCATAGAAGCATGTTCGGATTATTAGAATTTTAAAATAACGTATAAAAGCTATTTGTACAAGATAGATTGGTTTGCAAAACGTAGGGACAATTGACAAATGGAT